GCCATTGCTGGCCTCTGGTTCTCAAACACTGCCCACCCTTGCCACAGATTGGAAACTGCCTGAATCCTGGCAGTTCACAGCACCCAGTGTACCAGGCCTAATCCCCCTGGAGCCTGCCTGACTGGGCAAGCCTGCAAAGTGCAGGTCAGCGGGCACCTGCAGACCCCAGCAAATCCCATGCTGCGAGCTCTGGAAGCATTCTAGGGAGCGTTCTGCCCTGCTGCACATGGACAGGGGCCACTTTTCCAGCCTCTGCCCTGAGCCAGAGCCATGCAGAGGGAGTAGCCAGTGGCTATTCCACGCAGGCCCACTGAAGGCACTTCTCTTCATCCAGCCCTTTTCTCAGACATAAGAAACCTGACCACTCACTGACTCATTGGGGTCACCCTAAGATCTGGTTACTGTCATTCATCCAACCTAAAGTTCTCTCCTGGGGGCTGGCACTGCAGTGCAGCAGGTTCAGTTGCTGTCTAGACAGCAGGATCCCATGTGGATGCTGTTTGAGTCCTGGCCACTCCACTGCAAATTCAGCTCCCAGCCAGTGCATGGGAGACCCAGCTCCTGGCTTCAGCCTGGCCCATCCCCACAGCTCTAACCATTTGGAATAAATCAGTGGATGGAAGAAGGTCTTTCTCTCTGTAGCTCTGCCTTCCATGTAATTAAATATTTTATAAAATAACAGTAAAACATCTCCTCCTTTAACATCTCTGAAACAAGGATGCTTCCTCAAGTGACAGTGTCTCACGATCTGACAGCACTTTTTCTTTCTTGCTTAGTGGTCCCTAAAACAAAGCCTTGCCTTGAAACTTAAAGCACAAGCAAATGAAATAAAAATGGTTTCCATATCCAAGAGGTTACCCTTCAATGCTTGCTATGCAGTGCGTTATTATGGACAAAGGAGCTGACTGGGAGCACTGCAGCCTGGGGGAGCCACGCCCACCAAATATCCCCATCTCCAGGGCTAGGAGGCAGAGCCACTAGAAGACATGCCCAGAGAAGCCAGCTTTCTACCTTTTTCAGGAGAAATTCAAGCGTTCTGACACCACAACACCATGGAGAACACACTATGTAGGGCCCCAGGTCAGATCTAGCCCAGCAGGCCCTCAGTCCACAGTCAGGGGCATCTATCTCTACCTTATCTTGGAAAAGCTAGGAAGATCTCCAAATCACTTGGAAGCAAGGGAGGACTTGTCCACATCCCCAAAAGGAAGGCAATGGGCTGCGAGGCTGCTGCTGCAAGGTGGTACCTCCCAGGGGCCCACATCTGAGTCCCACTGCTCTGCTTCTGATTCAGCTCCTTGCTAATGCACCTGGGAAAGCAGCAGCAAACAGCCCAAGTGCGTGGGCCCTGCACCTACATGGCAGCCCTGGACGAAACGCCTGGCTCATGGCTTTGGCCTGACCCAGTCCCAGCCACCACAGCCATTTGGGGGAAGTGCAGCAGCAAATGAAAGATCTCTCTTTTTCTAACTCTGCCTTTCAAATAAATAAATCTTTTTCCAAATTTTTTTTTTCTTCAAAAAGCAAGCACCATTTCAGGCCTTGTTCTGTAACTTCCTTACTGTTGGTCCTCACTCAGGCCACAGAACATCCCTGGCCTTGCACTTCTTGTCCGTAAGTCACACCCGATTTCCCAGAGCTGTTATGAGACCTAAGTGAAGGAGCATGTCACAAGGCTTCAGCGCAAAGGGATACTTGACACATCAGGCAACTACCTGCCCTTGCTTGACAGGAGTCAGACTGCCCCTCCCCTGGCCGCCACTAGCATCATTCGACTCACAAAACAAACAAAAAAGCCCTTAGAGGCCAAACCTAACACAAGGCCATCATTCACACTCAAGATTTCACCAACTAGAATAAGATAAAGATATCAATAAGATAACTTTATAAGATGGAATCAAAGATCTCAGGAAGCTAATAGCAATATTCATGGAAAACTATGCCAAAAAGCCACCTACAGACAGCCAAAATTAAATAAATGTTAAACAAAAACAGCCAAGGACCCATACTAGATACAGAAACTAGTCCAAACTGTTTTGATTCCAGATCAAATTTCATCCTGGGGTCATGAATAAGAAGTTTTGTGAAACTGCTAACTGTTCTAACACAAAAATTCCTTCAGCCAAGAGTGATTTCAAATTGGATTCTTCACAGCAACCTGACTCAAGTCAGGGGGAATAGGAGGGGAACTGACCACTAGAACCTCAGCCAGGACTGTGCGTCTCCACTCACACAGCATGTAACCTACCCATGCAAAACCCCCCATCTTCATCCCATTCACGCTCCACAGAGCAACAATGCACCCTGGGATCCTCACCAAGATGGCCCACAACTAAGTGCGCTCTAAACATACAACCCCTCTCAAATGAAAGCATAGACCTAATGTTCATCTGTTAGGTACAGATGCCTGTTTGGCTAAGAGGCTGATAAAGTGACTTCCATAGGGCACTGGGCAGCTCTCCCAGTGCAATATTTCATGCCCTGGAAAACCAGCTCAGCACTGGCTGTATCACACATCTTTCTCCCAGAGCCGGTACCTCCATCTGTTTCCTTCCACAGACCAAGTCAGGAAGACAAATCAAACTGCACATCCAACAGTGTGTCGTTAATGTTCTCCGAAGGCCAACCTGACAGCATGGAACCTCCCATAAAAAGCAAACACCATGAAAATGTGCAGCCATCACAACTCACAACAGCCCTGCTCTTTTTTTTTTTTCCTCGTAGGATAAATCTGCAAAGGGAAACCACAATGAGATCTGTCTCCTGTGATACAATGTGTGTGCAACAGAGAGCACTATTAGGGAGGCAACAAGTTAATCAAAGGTGTCTCCATCACCACTTTCAGTTCAAACCCCCTCCAGCTACACACAGGAGTGCAGGCGGTTACAATCCCACTTCCAACTCCCTTCTCCCCGCCCCCCTCTGCTGGGTCTGTACTGACCCCTCATTTTCACAGTCCACACCCAACTGGGATCCACAAGGACCCTGCTAGGCAAAGTGGCACCATGCGCTTGGGTGGATTCTGACAGCCATTGCCAAGGTAAACAAAGCACAAACAACAGAGACAAGCATCTGACTCGTCTATCCAGTTGCATTTCCCCAAACTCTCCTACGATTTTTGTTTCATAGAGCTTTTACAAGCTAACTGTGTTATTAATTTTTTTTCAAGAATCTAAGCTACGTGCGTCTCCAGGGTCCCCCAACCCAAGCCGCGCCTTTGTTTAGGAACGCAGGGCTTTCAGCACCTTTCAGTGAACTGCCCCGCCCACCCTCTGTGGCTGCTAATTCCGTGCACAAGTGGACGGGACTTGGAGAGAAAACCCAGGCGAGAGAATGGTCCCCAAGGACACGAAACAATGCTACTTTCCACCCCACCCCAGGTAACTACACACAAAAAAGGAAATTATCTTACATGAGCACGGCATGGCAAAGTCATCAGAAACACATTGTTTTCTTTGTGATCATCCTTTGATTAAAAAAAAAAAGCATCACTGCAATATCTTTGCCTGACACTGTCAAAAGTCACACCCCCAAGCACTCACCCCACCCACCTCAAAGTACGTTTTTCATTGCACACTGATGCCACATGCGCGAACACACGCGTGCACACGCGCGAACACACACACACACACACCCTGCCAGGAGCCAGCCACAGGGCGCCCAGGAGCCAGCCACAGGGCGCCCAGCGAAGCCATCACAGGAGCCAGTCTCGCTCAACAACCACCCGCATCACCAGAGAAAAGAGGGAACCTTGGAGAAGAAAGGAGGGAGGAGAAGACAGAGAAATCCACAAAGCCTGCATTTCCAGACATCAACTTTTCATGAAATGCACAACCAGGCTCGGAAATACTTCCCTGCTGAGTAATGTTGCACGGGTTGTAAATTCACCTCGGCAAAAGGGAGCCAGACCTGGGCGCGCGCCCCACCAGATGGCAAACCACTCCTACCTGCTCCATGCAGCCGCCCGCCCGTCCGTCACGCCGCGCCCGCCACAGGCCTCCCACCCCCCTTTTTGGCAGCGCGACGCACCAATGAGCGCACGCGAGGCCGGCGAGAGGGCCGAGCCGTGATTTAGCTGGATCGTCGCAGAGCTGGGAGTGGGAGCCGGGCAGCCGGGCAGCCGAGGGAGGGGGAAAACAAAGCCCTCGCCCGGCGAACCGACCGCTTGGGGGCGTGGCTTCCTCCAGCGGCTTTATTAATAAAAGAGATCAATTAAGCGTGCTTCTCTCCGCCCACTCCGGAGGTACCGGGCTGTGAATCCTCCGGAGGAGGCAGGCAGGCGCGCGCGGACACACACACACACACACACACACACACACACACACACACTCACACACTCACACACTCACACAAAAGCAAGCTTACAAGCTCCCTCCAAGTTTCAGGCAACACCTGCCGCCATCCTTGACCACCTCCCGCCACCCAAACAGAACAAATATATATACTCCGACAGGCACCATCCAGGCTGTAGCGGCGGCGAGAGCCAGGCGACGACGGCCACCCGCAGCTGCTGCTTCTGCCGCCGCCTCCCTGGCCACCGCGCCTCGCAGCGCCTGCTGACTGGAGCAGGGGCAGAAAGTTCCTAGGGGCGACCGGCGGGGCTCCCCGGGCGCCGCGAATGTGCGGCCGCGACCCAGACGTGACACACTTGATGGACTCCCGCTGCAGGGGCAAGAGGAGGAAAGTTGCCCAAAAGCCGGGGAGACGCGGCTTGTCCGAGGAGGAGGACGCGCCCTCCGCCCACCCCACGGTGAGGACAGCCAGCGAAGCCTAGGTTCCCGGGGTCACCAATGTATTTACAAACAATGAGCAGAAAGGGGCGAGTCAAGCCAGAGAACCCAGGCCCGCCCCCTTGGGACGCCCCGCGCCCGCTCCGGAGCGCTCCCGCGTTCGAACCCCGCGCCCCTGCAGGCGCACCCCGATGTAACCCCACTCCCCTCCCCCTGCCGGCGCCCGGGCAGAAACTCCCCGGGGAGTCCCGACGGAAAGGGGCCGCTCACCTCGTCTTCCGAAAGTCCGTAGACCGGCTCCCCGAGTCCGGTCGCCATGGAGCCGGAGCTGTCGCCCGCGCCCCGCGCGGCGTCCTCCAGACGCTCCCGGGCGGCCGGGCTGTGGCGCGGAGCCGCCGGGTTCCGCACCCTGGCCTGCGGCGCCCCTCGTCGGGGAAGAGGGAGAAAAGCGGCCGGGCGCCGGCAGGTGAGGAGGGTGCCGGCCGCTGACCGCGCCGCTTCCTCCCGGAAGGCTGCGGGACGTGCCGGCCGGCGGCTCCCGAGAGCGCGCCGAGCAGCGGGCGGCGGCTCCGCCGGGCTTTCCCTGCGTGCGGCCCGCACCTCCCCGGCCCGCCGCTCTCCGCCCCTCTCCGAGGCAGCTCTGCGATTGCGGGGACCCGGCTCGGCCGCCCCCGCGCGCGCACGGTCCAGGCCCCCGCTCTCTCCGCCCCCTCCTCCGCCTCCTCCCGCCCACCCTGCGCCGGGGCGGGCACACGCGCCCCCCAAGCCAATCACAGGCCGGGCTGGGGGGCGGGCCGGCGGGGCTGGCGGAGTCGGCCCCCACGCCCACCCCAGCCCGGGGGTTCCTGCGCGGCGCTCCGGGGCTCAGCGGCCCGCAGGGGCGTGCCCCGAGCGGCTCGGCCGGCGGAGCTGGCCCGGTCTCCTGTGCGGGCTTTGGATTCTGTGCTTTGGGCAGGGGGCCGACTGGGCCTTTGGGGAGCAAGAAGGCGTTTTGGCAACCGCAAGAGCGACACCCTGGTCACCTCCGGCGCGCGCGCGCACACAAACACACCCTTGTGGTCTTCTGGCCGACAGCCCCCAGCTCGCCGTCATTGTTATAACGCTGCAAAGATGGATGTTTCTAGACCCCTTTAAATTCTTGGCAGCCGCGGCGAGCCGGACTTGGCTACATGGTAGGCGCTCGGGAGCGCTCCCCCGGCTGGGGAGAGGCTGCCCCGCCGTGGCCGCGGGTCGCCACTGCTGGTGCCCACCCGGTAGGGAACGACCCCGCGCCGCGCCCTCCCACCTCCCATCCCGAGGGCTCCGCCACCCCCTGGGAGTCCGACAGCCTGGCTCGGTGGGGAAAGCTTGGGGGACGCAGGGGAGAGGCTCAGCTTTGGGCCGCCGCCGGAAATCTCAAAGTGAAGTTTGAGTTTTTTTTGTTTTTTGGGGGTTTTTTTTGCCAAGGCTTGAGACGCCTGTCGGCGGCTGAGAAGCCTTCCCGCGAGCCCAGTTTCCAATTCTCCAGGAGGCCGCTTCGCAGGTGGATCCTTCTCAGATCGAAGAAAGCAACGAAAGACCTCAGAGAGACGTGAGAATTCAGGAACGAAGCACACACCTAGCACGCACCACTTGTTGGAAAAAGGAAGTGTGGAATGGAAATGCCTCCTTGGGTATTACGGGATGCGTTCAGGATTTTCTTTCAAGGAAAGAACTCACGTGGCCTGCAGAATTCATCTGGGTGATGCCAGCTACTTTACCTCTGACCCAAGTGAAGCCCACCTTGACCTCCCTGTGAAATTTCAAACAGGTGCCATAGAATGAAGACATGCTCTCTGTAAGTCTTTCTGTCAGCAAGACTCAGATGCCCCAAAATCCCAGCCAGGATAAGTATTTAAAAGGCATGGTAGCAGAGGGAAGGAGGATGGAAGAGAAAGAAAGAAATTTTGCATCGATGGTTCACTCCCTAAAATAGCTAGAAAAGCAGGAATTGGGCCATTCCAAGCCAGGAGCTAGTTCCAGGTCTCCCCAGTGGATAAAGGGCCCCAAGCACGTGGGCCATCCTTGCTGCTTTCCCAGGTGCATCAGCAGGCAGCTGGATGGGAAGTGGAGCAGCTGGGGCGAGCTGCATCTCTGTTCCGTCTTTGCATGTCCAAATTCTTGCACGTTCTCAAGCTTCAGTGCTTTTTCTACCGATAAACAAACACATACACAATTCAAAGATGCCCCTAACTTACTTGTGGGGTCGCTGCTCCCATACTCTGCGCCCAGGCCTTTGTTGAGTTTGTACAGTGCTATAAGAAGGGAAAGCTTATCGATTCTTTAAAATCTTGTTATAATTTCCCATTACACTGGAAGTCCTGGAGGTGCATGGTGCCAGACTTAATCTTTGAAGGACTGTGTCACCCCTGTATGTCAAAGGGTGTCATACCCCCACTTCTGTCACCTGCCCCCCCCCATGCCTGAACCCACCCACAGTCTGGGCTCCTGTGTTTGACTTTCTTTGAGGAATGGTAAGGAAGCCATGATGTGAAACTTGTCATATATCATCTAGGAATAGTATGATTACTGACAAAATTGTGGCCCTTGATGTCACCCACATACATGGTGAGAAAAAAAAAAATCAAACAAAACATGCATTTCACCAGTAAGACACAAAAATTTATTTGCCCTCTTTCTAGGTGTTGGCAAGTTTTTGCATCCTGGATGACAAAAATGCTTTCAGCTGATTATTTACTTGGCCACCAGGAAACTCCGAATCAAATTTATGTCCTTAAAGCCATAAACTAAATCTCAAAAGAGGAGGAGGAAGAGGGGCCACCATCCTCTTTGTACCATGTACTACCATTTCCCACAGGCAGTGGGATCTACCCCGGATGCACAGGGGGCCCACCTGGAGCAGCGGCCTAGCCCGGTTGCACAAGGGGCCCACCTGGAGCAGCGGCCTAGCCGGGATGCACACGGTGCTGGCCTGGAGCAGCGGCCTAGTCAGGATGCAGAAGGGGCCCACCTGGAGCAGCGGCCTAGCCGGGATGCACAAGGGGCCCAGCCTGGAGCAGCAGCCTAGGCCGGATGCACACGGTGCTGGCCTGGAGCAGCGGCCTAGACAGGATGCACAAGGGGCCCACCTGGAGCAGCGGCCTAGACGGGATGCGCTGGGGCTGGCCTGGAGCAGCGGCCTGGCCCAGCAGTTATGGAGAAGACACGCATGCGCCACATGGGAGCAGCTGAATTCAGCGCCTGGCCCTGGCCCCTGATCCCAGCCTCCTGCTAATGCAGGCCCTGGTGGCTCGCTGTGACGCTCCAGGAGCTAGATTCCTGCCACCCACGTGGGACATGGAGTCTAATCCCATGCTCCAGCTCCAGCCCAGGTTGCAGACGTCTGAACCAACAGGTAGGAGTACTTCTTTTCCCTTGTCTTCTCTCTCACACATTCAAATAGACCAAGCTCCCAGATGGAGTAAAGAAGGTTTTTTGGTTCAGAGTGCAGTTATTTCAGTATCATCCCAGATAGTGCTGGATGCAAATTTTAGCATAGGCCCGTGGTTCCCAAATACTACTGCATACAAAAAACACCTGAAGATACTTTTGTCTACTGCCAGCTGCCTCCCAGCCTCAGGCTTTCTGACTTAATTAGCAATGAGTACCACAGGGACATCAGTTTTTAAAGCTTGCCAGGTGATTCTAAATCAGAGTAGAGTTTAGTGACCGCTAGCCTAGTTTTATATTCTTGCTCTGTGATCCTGAGTTTTTAAATTTTTTTTTCCAACTTAGAGGAAATTACATATACTAAATACACTCAAGTCCTTTGCAGAGTTAGATAGGATGTAGACAGATATATGAATGTTAATATCCTTCTCGGCTTTCCCTGCTGCCTGTCAGTTTGAAGTCTCAGAGATTGATAATCCAGTGTTGTTGGGGCTGAGACAGACGATCCCTCGGGAGAGCTGTTCAGCGCTTTTACCCAAAGTAATCAGTCTCCTCCAATCAGTGTCACTTCTACCCTGCAATTACCCAGAACGACACCTTGTGGATTCTCCTGTAGCATTTGTTCCATTCTGCTGTCTTTGGAGACTGCCGCTAACATTTTATATTTGGAACTGTGTTTGGTTAAGTGCTCTTCACTTGGATCATCAGGAATAAAAAATTAGTTAGACCGATTTTGAAGTACAATGGGTAATTACAAATAGGGAACATTTTAATGCTAAGCATCTTTGCAGATTGTTGAGTTGTCTTAGCAAAATGTGGTCTATCTTTATCACATCTGGGCAGAACCCAAAGCAGAATAGTGCAGACTGCCACGTCTTTATGTAAGTCTCTGCAAGTTACCACTAGAATTCTTCCTTTGCTTTTTGGTGATGATCTGAGTTGTTCAAAAAGAAAACTCATGGGTCAGGCACTGTGGTGCAGCAAGTTAAACTGCACCGTCAAGGTCAAGGATGGTTTCCTCGGCTTCACACACAGACTCCTACCGATGCATCCTGGAAGGCAGCAGGTGTCAGCTCAGGTCCCTGAGCCTCTCTGTGGGAGACCGGGATAAAGTTCCTGACAACTGACGTCAGTATGGGCTAACCCCACATGCGTATAGGGAGCGAACCCAACAGATGAAAGATGTTTCTCTGTCACTATTTCGAGTAGAAGAAAATAGAATAAAAAAAAAAAAAACCCTAGTAAGCACTCTAACATTCATGTAAAATCTGGCACCGTGTTGAAACTTATCAACATAAAGAAAGCTGATAGATATGATTACATAAGGAAGTAAACGGTGCTTCAACTTTTATCCATAAGAGTGAATCACAGAGTGGCTTGTAACGGCTAAAATTTTTGTATAGAAATAGCTATGCTTTGAAAGAAATATTCTCATATTTGTTCTAGCTCTTTAAAAATAAGGAAATATCTGAAATACAGATGCGTATTTTCTGTGTGTTTGCAATCTGACAAAGTACCTGCCTTCTAACTGGCTGTATTAGTAACTTCTTAAAACCATCATTGTCATTTCTAAAATATTTGAGTTTATTTCCACATTTTTGCTGTGTGCTTTTTCCCCTTAATGAGTCTTCATTGAGTCATGTTCTGGTTCTTTGTTTTCTTATTTGTTTCCTCTTCTGCTTGGGATGTTCATCACTCTGTCTCTTCTTATACTAACTGTATTTGACATTTTACATTCATACTTAAGGTAGCAAATAAATCGTTGGTATCCTGGAGCTGGTGTTGTAGCACAGTGGGTTAAACCACCACTTGGGACACCAACATTCTATTCTGAGGTGCCAGTTTGAGTCCCACCTATTTGCACTTCCAACGCAGGTTCCTGTTAATGCACCAGGTGGTCTATGGATGATATCTCCCGTTACCTCCATGGGA